TGTATGTGTGTATGTGTTTGTATGTCTGTATGTCTGTATGTTTGTATGTTTGTATGTCTGTATGTCTGTATGTCTGTATGTATGTATGTGTGTATGTGTGTATGTGTGTATGTGTGTATGTGTGTATGTGTGTATGCATGTATGCATGTATGCATGTATGCATGTATGTATGTTTGTATGTATGTTTGTATGTCTGTATGTCTGTATGTCTGTATGTGTGTATGTGTGTATGTGTGTATGTGTGTATGTGTGTATGTGTGTATGTAAGGTATGTAAGGTATGCAAGGTATGCAAGGTATGCAAGGTATGCAAGGTATGCAAGGTATGCAAGGTATGCAAGGTATGCAAGGTATGCAAGGTATGCAATGTATGCAATGTATGCAATGTATGCAATGTATGCAATGTATGCAATGTATGCAATGTATGCAATGTATGCAATGTATGCAATTTGTATATGTATTTCCTATTTTTCCCCCCCTCCCCCTTCCCCCCGCCCAAGTAAGCAATTCTCACTGCATGTAAAGCAATGTATGGTAATGTATGTAATGTATGTATGTATGTAATGTATGTTTATGTATGTTATTTTATGTTATGTATGTTAATGTATGTTATTTATGTTAAAACTTGTACTGTTATGTAATGTTATGTCATGTTTATGTGTTATTAGTTTGTATGTAATGTATGTAATGTATGTAATGTATGTAATGTATGTAATGGTATGTAATGGTATGTATGTATGTATGTATGTATATGTATGTATGTATGTATGTATGTATGTATGTATGTATGTATGTATGTATGTATGTATGTATGTATGTATGTATGTATGTATGTATGTATGTATGTATGCAATGTATGTATGCAATGTATGTATGCAATGTATGTATGCAATGTATGTAATGCAATGTATGTAATGTAATGTATGTAATGTAATGTAATGTAATGTAATGTAATGTAATGTAATGTAATGTAATGTAATGTAATGTAATGTATGTATGTATGTATGTGCTAGTTGTGTTGTTGCTGTCACGGTTATGTCTATCATTTTAATATCCTCAGCATGGGGTTTGCTCAGGTCGATAGCCTTCGTTTTCGTGATTGGTTGAGATTTACAGGCTCCACTCCGCTGAACTTGTTCAGTAAATGAACATTGAGATGGAACATGAACCATTTGTAGATGTTTTTTTTTCCAGCTTTAAAACGCCATTTATAGGGGACTTGCCATTTTCCTTGGGTTTCCCAGGTGGTTTGAAAACATCTATTCCCGCGTTGTTTGGGTCTAAGGTCAAGACGCAACGGTGGATGGGGAGATGTTGGTCCGAGCACCTTACGGCTTCACATTCGAAGAGGACCAGCGATATTTGCGAATAAGCCATAGATCGATAGATCAACGATCAGTTTGAGTCAATATGTGATCATTTATCTTTGGATGATTGTAGATCAGTGATACTTGATCTCTCTATCCATCTATCTATTTGTCTGTTTGTCTGCCTGTCTGTCTGTCTTAGCTGTCTCTCTATATCTCTATCTATTACTAATCGATCTATTTCTATCTATTTCTAATCTATCTATTACTAATAGACAGATAGATAGACAGATACATACAGGTCGGTATGATTCAATTGTGCATTGCTGATTGTTTATTAAACAGAACAGTGGGGGAGTGGATGCTTTAAGGCGATGTTGCCATCATACTGGGACACGTTGAACATTTATGTGTGATTCCATAGCAAATTCATAGCAAATTGAAACATTCAGTTTTATGAATAGCACATGTTGACATCTTTGAGTTTGATGCAGTTTAATCCATAGCAAATTAGCAGGCTGTGGTGGACCTCAGAATGCTCCGGCTTCAAAAATGCATGCAAGAAAAAAAAAAACGCATTTGGGTTAGTAACCTAGCCCGTCAGCGGTACGGATGTTCACAAATTGGTGGCCTTAGACCAACGCTGGGAACTGACCAAGAATAGAATATTGGCTAATATTGGGTATGTGCAGCCAGAGAAACACAGTTGTTTCAAAAAAAGCAAATCCAAAGGAAAGGAGAAAAAACCCTTCTACTTACCTCCACAGTTCCATGGGACAACAGCAACGGTTTATTCATCGTGCCAGGAGTGTTTGTCCTTCGTGGAAGTGAGCGAAAGTGCGACCTTTGGCCCCAAAGTCCGTTTCCCAGAGGACACAGGGTGCAAACTGCCAGTATCTTTGGAACAAAGATAGGGGTAAAGGCAGTACCTCCACAATGAGATGGAAAAAAACGTAATGTGCTTAAAACAGTCATAAACCACCCCATTTGGAAATGGTAAACATACCACCTATAAAAATGGTGAATTTGGGGGATGGTTTATGGTATTGTTTTACCCGCATTACTATGATTTGGAGGGGTAGAAGGACAATTATTCTCCAACAATGGGAAATGAGATCCTCAACGCGATATCCACATGCAGGTTCAGGGGTGACCAAGACCGGAGCGTTAAAGCGTGGTGCTACGACCCCATGGAATTTATGTTTTTTGTTGTCCATCGAAAGATAGATTATTACTGGCTGATGTATAGGAACATGTAGGAACTACGGAAGCCATAAAACATTGTGAGATATTGTGAGTACTCTATTTTAAGTTGGCTGTAGTCAAGTGTTTCGTTGATTGATCATGTTTGAGAGATTGTTTTCACATGACACGAGTCCTATCCGTCCTATCCCATTGCATTCCAGTGGTTGTCAATTACTTTCACTTGTGCTCACATGGTAATATAGTGTAAGTAAATATACCATGTATTACCATATGCTAGAATTTTTAACTGCAGTCTATCCTGTTCAATTAGGTAGAATAGCCGATGGCATTGTGGATCCGCCAGGAGTTTACCGTGTGGCCAGCCAACGTCTTGATCTCGCAGTGCTGGGGGCCTCAGGAATACGGATCCACTGTTGGGCTGACGCTGCTCTTAGACAAGCCTTCCACGCCAGAAATTATTTGGGTTTGTCTGAAAATAGTGTACCCCTACACCCAATGGTTAATGATCATTATCCCTACTAAATGGCTATAATTGGGGGTATACCCCATTTTCAGACATACCCATTTATAAGCAGAGTTCGTGGAAATCGCCGCTTAGCTTCTCTTCTTTTTTTTGCCATCTAGGTAGATTCAACATGAGAAGCGAAGTTCTCACGTAGCCTCGAGGTCGCGGTGTGGATCGCAGCGCACATTTGACCCTGACCTTCCAAGCAGGGTGGGGTGACTGAGGGGATCGCCGCGAAAAAGTCGCCTCAGTTCTCTCTCGTA